TGTATTACGCATGCTCAGCGGCCCTCTGGCCAGCGGCTGCCGCAGGTAGGGACAGCGCAGGCCCACGTTTTACCACGTGATCCTCAGAGCAGCCTCTGCAGGTTCCAGGTCTCGTGCTCACACCCACCCAGAGACTGGCCTAGCACTGACATTTCTCATGTTCCCAGCAGCTTCCCAGTTTGCCCTGTGACACCCACTACAGGGTGCTCTGGGTGGTTTCCAGTCCCATAGCCTCCCCACTTGGTCTGAACTGGTATACACTGGCTCCCCCCCTGCCACTGGGCAAGCCTGAAATTGCCCCTCATACTGCTGGGAGCTTCATTTGTCAGAGAGGTGGTGGCTGGTGACAGCAATGAGGGTGGCCATCAATGTGGCCCCTGGGCTCTGCTTATGACATGCTGTCAGGCCTGGCCCTTTGCCCCTGCCCCTGCCTCAGTTTGTCAGTGTGTAAGTAGGGAGTGCTCAGGCCTCCAGGAAGCGGACTACTCTCAGGATTGTGTTCACGGTCTGTTTGTGTATTGAATCATGAGAAGTTACCTTGTTTTATATATACCAAAAGCAGGTAATGCCAGCAGTGTTGGGGATCTCTGCCATCTTTGCGAGGATCCTGGGAGGTCTCCTGAGAGGTCTCTTGGGGTGATGCTGCCTGTGTGAAGATGGAAGGTGGCTCTGGTACCCTGGGGCTCAGGGCTCCCTATCCCTGCCCTACTTTAGAGAAGTGGGGCAGGGGACTTATCCAGAGAGTTTGCCTGGTGCAGGCTTGTCACTGGGATTGTTGGCAGACCCTTGAACCAGGTAAATGTCTAACAGTGACCTCAGCTGGCACCTTGAGAGCCCTGTGCCTGTCCTTCCACTTCGCTAACCTAAGATGTTGACTTCTCAGCCCAGGATCCAGGCATCTCCCCAAGCCAAAGTCTGTGTGCAGAAGGTTCCCGAGGACTCAGCGCAGGCTCCCTGTCGGAGAGCGCGGTGGGGCCAGTGGAGGCCTGCTGCCTGGTCATCCTGGCTGCAGACAGCAAGGTGAGACCTGTGCCACCATGCCTACAGCCCGCCATAGTCCTGCTCCCTCACAGCCACAGCCACCATACCCACAATCTGTCCCTTGCTGACACACCAGGCCCATCGTTATGCCACACTCACAGCCATGCCATGCCCATACCCCTGGTCCCAGTAAGTGCCCCCCTCCCCACCTGGACTTGCCCCACACCTTGCCCACCCAGCACTCCCTCCTCTGTCCAGCCCTACCTTGGCCCATTCCCCTTGTCCTTTCTAGCCCACTGCCCTGTGAGCTGCCTGGGCTCTCCCACCCTCTGGGACCACCAGGTTTGGCCCAGAGAAACACTTCAGCAGAGCTTTTGCGCACTCCGCCCATCATTCCCTTCAGGGGAGGGGCCTTTCCCAACCCCTGCCTCCACATGACAGGCAGGTGGGCAGTGGCCAACTGGTGGCAATACCTGGCTCCTGGTGTTCAGGACTCTGCTTGTAGGTTTCTCATGGGAAGAGCCAAGGGCCTGGTGTTTGTGGGTTAGACTTTGGGCTCCCCTCAGGTACAGCAATCATAGGGTGCTCAGTGTGTTACTTAATACCCTTCCTGTAATTTCCACAGTTATCTGCAAAAGGAATAGCAGGAACCACTCACCGAAAGTATCCACCTTCACCTCCAGCATTCTTCAGCCCTGGTGTTGACATTTCCAGCCTCATCATTCTTGGCTGGGGGTGGGGGGTTCCCTGTGCAGCATGGGACATTGAGCAGCCTCCCTCGCTTCTCCTGGTGACAACTGAAAAATCTCTTAAAAATGTGCCACATGTCCCCTGGGGACACAGCCACCCCATAGAGATCCCTGACTCAAACAGCCCGAGTTTATAAACCGTCCTGGGTGGACCCTGGTGCTGATGTGTCAGCCTCTCCCCTTGTTCTTGAGGCTGGGATGGAAGTTGTGGGGTATTGCCAGGTCAGAATAATGGGAGGACCCGGGCCCCAAGCAGTGTACCTGTGAGGCCACACTTGGGTACTTTTTAAAGAGAGATTTTTGTTTAGTGCGCATGTGCTCAGCACAGAGAGAAACAAAGAGACAGAAAGCGAGAAATCACACACACACACACACGCACACACCCGCCAGGGGGATGGCCACTCTGTAATCCCTTCTCCATTCTCCTCTCAGGATTTCGGGCACACACGCACATGCGGCTGGCCTGAGTTTTAAGCCGCCGGGTCCAGGACTCAAACCATTCTCTACTATGTGGGAGTCCAGCAACGTAACCATTACGCCATCTACACGTTCCCCCAAGGCCCTTTTAGACACCGACACCCCGGCAGTGAGAGGCAGTGAGACGCTGGGGTCTGGTATCTGGTATTTATCTCATCTCTGAGACCTGCTGTGCTGGAGAGAGCCAGGAAGGCTGGATCTCCAGGCAGACTGAGTGGAGCTGTTCCTTCACCCTCCTCCCTTCCTCTGCTGCAGGTGGCTGCAGAAGAGCTGTGCTCCCTGCTGGGCCAGGTGTTCCAGATGGTCTACACCGAGTCCACCATTGACTTTCTGGACAGAGCTATATTTGATGGGGCCTCCACACCCACCCACCACCTATCCCTGCACAGCGGTACGTTGGGGGGAAGGGCTGCCGCAGGAGCTGGAGAGGCCACAGGAGGCTCCGTGTCCTGGAGCCACGTGTGGTCAAAGCCACACCACCTAACTCAGAGCAAAGATGGGGCTAGAAGGCCCTTGGAGACCTGTGACTGGATGAGGAGGCTGGGGTGGCGGGGCTCCTCACAGGACCCGGACCAGTCCCACCTGGGTTGCTCTACTGCCCTGAGGAGGAGGCTGAGGAGGGAACCAGGGAATTTCAAGGCTACAGAGCTGGAGGTGAGGGCTCCCACCCACCGTCAGTCTGTGCAGGGCTGCACTCAGACATGTTCCCTTGTGCCGAATCTAACACAGAGCATCTGTTTGCAAATACGTTGTTCATTGAGGATTAGTGACTTATGTAAATCAGATGCATAAGGAGGAAGATACTAGAAACAGTGCAGCTTGTTACCTGTAACTCTTTTTCTTTATGCCTTTATGAGAGAGAGGGAGTCAGGGAAGACAGAGATAGGTATCTTTGACGGGGTCTCGCCGTGTTGCAGTCCAGGATCCTGCCCCAGCCTTCCCATTAGCCAGGGTCACAGGCATGTGCGCCCACACCAGGACCAGACCCTGGCCGACCACGCAGCTTCCTGAGACAGTGCCGTATATGCACTGCCATGACTGGCCTTGAGTTTCTAGATTTTATGGAGACGAGTCCCAGCCCTCTCCAGTAATTCATGCATCTCTGAAGGAAGCTATGAGACTTTCTGCACGAAGCTGGGAGCGGGTCTTTGGAGAAGGGCATCCTGCATTGCCTCCCTTTTGTGCCACTGGTCTGAAGCCCCTTGGGCCAGAGCCTTGTAAGTGCTGCTCGCTGCTGGGGAGAGCAGTGTCGCTGAGCACACGGACATGCCCTGTGGCATAGATGTATCCACTCACACTTCTTTAACTCTCACACAGCCTCACCTGGCTCAGACTTAGATCGGTTCCTTCTGGAGGCTCCTGTCCCGTCTCTAGCCACCAGGTGGCGTCTCCATGCTCCCCTTCTAAAGTCCCCTGTGAGCCGCCGCCTCTGCATTCTGGGATCACATCGAACCCACCTGGGACCCAGGCCCTCTCCCTGTGTGAAGGCCAGCTCCTCAGCAGCCTTCCACCTCCTTGCCCAAGGAACGTGACACTCAAAAGTTCTGGGGATTAGGATGTGGATATCTTTGGAGGCTGTTACTCTGCCCACCATATTTAACTTTGCTCCCACTGCCGGGAATGTCCTTTTTCTCTCCCATTCTCCCCATTCCGCTCTACACATTCCCTAGGCTCATGGTTGTTCTCACGGGACTTTCTTACTCAATGCCATTCCCGTTTGCAAATATCCATTCCCTCAGGCTCAGAACAGCAAGCCACAGTCTGGCCCTGAAGCTGTCTGCTGAGTTATCTGGTAGCTGCTCTCTGCCAGATCCTTTGCTGGTCTGAGGGCCTTGGCTGTGTCCAGACTGGGGGTACGCACCGCCCAGCTCTGACTGGCTTCTGAGTGACATGGGCCAAGTTGCATAGCCTTTTCTGGTTCCGTTCACTTTCGAGTGAAGACAGGAATGACAGTGCCTGAGTCAAAGGAAAGCAAAGCCCCTGGCACCCTGCCTGGCACTTATTTGACACTCCCAAAGCCAGCTTTTGTTACCTGCAGCCCTGGGGAGTACCCATGGACAGGATCCCCAGGAAAGGCATGTGTGGGCTCCAGCTGGGGCAGCCCTGCCCTGGGGCACCTGGTACAAAGGACTGTGGGACACTGGGGCCAGGGCTGCTGACCTCTCGTGTGTGCGTGTCATGGTAGCCATCTTCCAAGCATGCTTGTAAAGCTTGGCAGTTCGCCCCGATGCCTGCTCCCCCATGTGGCTGAAGCCGCCTCTTTCTACATCTCCTGCAGATGACTCTTCCACCAAAGTGGACATCAAGGAGACCTACGAGGCAGAAGCTAGCACTTTGTGAGTACCTGTGCCTTCGAGCCGGGGGCGGGGGGAGTCTCCAGACACGTGCCCAGCCTGGTCCTGGCTCCTGCCAGTCACCCCAAGCTCACTGCTCCCTTGCTGAGCCCGAGATCCTAGCCCACGGTCTCTGCAGTGGCCTGCCTCGCCACCCCACCCCGTTCCCACACCCATCCACCTTCCATGGCCTATAGAGAATAGCCTATGAAGACACAGGGCCTCAGGTGGGACCCTGTGCCTTCTGACCTTGTCCCTGCTGCCACCTGTACCCTCTCCTTTCCTGCTGCCCCCCCCCCAGGGTACCCAGTGTGACCCATGTGCTTCCACCTTTTACTTGGAGTCAGCCATGCTCCTGGGGAGCCCACGTCCAGGCCCAGCCATGGCTCTCTCATCACTGTTGTTACCCCAGCTGTCGGCACTGTCTTCTGCACACATTTCTCTGCTCAAGGGCACATCTGGCACTGATGAGACACCTCAGGACGTGTGGGATGATGGGTTGGGCAAACCATCTACCCACGGACTGTGCCACGTTCCTTGCAGCTCCTTCCCGGACCTTGCAGATGCCAGTGGTGTGTCGCCCTTCTGCACACAGCCATCACCTCACAGCAAGACTGCCAGCGAAAGTGAGCTGAGCACCAGTGCTGCAGAGCTACTGCAGGACTACATGCAGACGGTAGGGACACTGCCTTGCCTGCATACACCCAGAGGCGTTTGCCCACGTCCCACAACTTCTCAGGCAGCCAGGGACTCGGGGGTGGGGCAACACTACAGCCAGTGTTGCTGGGTCTTGCAGGGAACAGTGGCTCCCCACCTTACACAGTTTTCTCATTGAAAACTTAGTCCTCCGGATCTGCATGTGCTGGTACCCTGAGGGCGTCGTGTTGGCTCTGGGCCCCAGGCTGTCCCGCGTTCCCCTCCCTGCTGCCTGTGCCAAGGCAGTGACTGCCATTCAGCTCAGGAGAGGCGCTGATGGGCTGGGGATGCATCGTGGGTTTGCTGGCCCCACAGTGGGAGCAGACATGAAGCCAGCAGTGGCAAGTGCCCTTGTGCTCGCCATGGGAGCTCCACCCGGGTCAGCTGCCAGCAGGGCAGCCGTGCCGCTGGCTCTCCTGCCCTGCCCAGCCAGGCTCTGCCCTCTTGCAGCTGCGCACCAAGCTGTCGTCGCAGGAGATCCAGCACTTCGCAGCACTGCTGCATGACTACCGCAATGGCGCCTCCATCCACGAGTTCTGCATCAACCTGCGGCAGCTCTACGGGGATAGCCGCAAGTTCCTGCTGCTTGGTGAGTGGGACAGAGTGTGATGGGTCTGACCCCACACCTGGTGTGCACCCCGACCTCTGAAGCGGGCGGGTGGGGCTCCATAGGGAATGGAGGTTTGAAGCAGAGGGGGTTGTCCATACGGCCTGAAGCTAGGGGTCCACTTTGACTGGTTGGAGGCCTCTTCCCAGAGGCAGGCAGGGATCAGCAGGCTTTCACTATCTGGGAACCCTGAGCGGAGCTGGGTAGGTCCTACCAGGAAGCAAGGAGTAGGGCTGGGAGCAAACAGAACCCTACAGTTTGAGAGGAGAGGACTGGAGAGGAGCCAGGGAGACTCTTCAAAGACGTTACATGAGTGGGTCTTGGTGAGTGTGTAGTAGGAGTTTTCTGGGTGGAGAGACAATGCCATTCCCAAGTGGATAGACCAGCATTTGCTAAGACCCAAAAAGCCCAGCCCAGTAGGTCAGAGCAGCTGGTAGGCTGGATGCTCATGGCCTGCCACAGGCCCCTGGAGCTTGGCCCCTCAGCATCTGCCTAGCACAGTTCACACAAGCCCTACACCTTGCAGGTCCATGGTTCTCCTTTCTACAGACATGTAGGCCTGGTGGGTGGCACTAGCTACTTCAGGGCTCCTGAGTCCTCAGCCTTTGCCCCAGGTGGATTTGTTACCCAGTACACCTAGCTCATGTGGTCGCTTGTCTAACACTTCCTCTTGGGGGTGGAAGTCTGGGCCTGCTGGAGTCCAATTAAAGCTCTTGTCAACCCCAGGCCTTCTGTCAGTCCCCAACTCAGGGACTCAAATCCAGAAACTTCCTGCCTTGTTTCCAGGTACCTCCTTTCAAGAAGTGGGTAGTCTCCCTAGGTGGGAGATGGCCTGAACAGGAGGCACCCTGCTTGGACCCCACCCCAGGCTTTAACCACTTCCCCTCTCAGCTCCCTGGGGCCTTATCCCCTCTACCTCCTGGCTCACACCCCTCCACCTCCCAGCTTACCAGGAACAGATCACTCCCTTTCACTTAAAATCCTTGCAAAACTTGGGCTAGCCAGTGATGTGGTGGTTGAGGTAACTGGATCCCATGTGGCAAACTGTCTGGTCTGAGTCAGGACCCAGTGGCTTGAAAAAACAAGCACATAGGGACCAGCAGTTAGCGTAATGGCTATGTCGCTGGACTCCCACGTAGTCGACCGTGGCTCGAGTCCCAGACCCGGCGGCTTAAACTCAGGCCGGGCACATGTGCGTGCCCAAGATCCCAAGAGGAGAATGGAGGAGAAGGGATTGCAGCGTGGCCATCCTCCCGGAGGGTGATTTCTTGCTTTCTGTCTCTCTCTGTCTGTCTGGTGAGCGCACATGCCCTATAGCAAAAACCTCTCCAAAACAAACAAACAAACAAACCAAAACCAAAACCAAACAAAAACAAGCACATAGATGCATGCCCAAAATCCCAAGAGGAGAATGGAGAAGGAATCCTCTGGCCATCCCTCTTGGGGAGTACTTTCTAAACTCATTTTCTCTCTGGTGAGAATATGCACCCTGTAGCAAACTAGAGAAACAAAAACAAGCCTTGCAGAGCCTTCCCCACACAGAGGATGTCTGGGCTTGGGAGATCCTAGTCGGAGTTGGAGCAGTGTCTCTGCATTTTCTGGTTAAGCTGCATCACCCTTTCTGTGCCTGGGTCCTACATCCCCTCCTGCTGTGGGACTGTCAGCCACAGCGGGGAGAAGAGGTTCTGTGCCCGGTCTCTAGCAGTCAGGGCAGTTGCCTTGGGCTGGGCTGCAGCAAGCCAACCGCAGACTTTGGCATGAGGTCTGGGATATCAGCGGGCAGCTGCCGGGAGCACTCTGGGCCTCAGCTTTCTCACCTAAACAATGAGGACTCCATGAGGAATGATGGAGAAGGAGGGGAAATCGTGGGCTCCTGGCCAGGGAGGGCTGGTGTGATGGAGGCAGTTGCTGTCCAGGACTGGTAGTACCTGTCAGAATTGAGTTTTCAGCCATACACATTCAGGGGCGGCTGTGATCTCGCCAGCTCCAGCCCAGGAGCAGCGCTGAGCCTAGCTGGAGGGACAGTTCTGGGTTGTATCTGCAGGTCTGAGGCCCTTCATACCCGAGAAGGACAGCCAACCCTTTGAGAACTTCCTGGAGACCATCGGCGTGAAGGATGGCCGTGGCATCATCACCGACAGCTTTGGCAGGCACCGGCGGGCCCTGAGTACCACCTCCACCTCTACCACCAATGGAAACAGGGCGGCAGGCAGCCCAGATGACCGGTCGGTGCCCTCTGAGGGGGACGAGTGGGACCGCATGATCTCGGACATCAGCAGCGACATCGAGGCACTGGGCTGCAGCATGGACCAGGACTCAGCGTGACGCATGGCAGAGACCACCCATGCCCTGGCAGGAGGTGCCTAGACCTGGGGCGGTGTCAGCCCTTCCAATGATTGGGACCAGGCCAGGCTCCAGCACAAATGGCTCCAGGTTGCCCAGGTCCTCAACTGTGAAGGAGCACAGAGCTGCATGGGACACACGTCCCTGTGCGGGCAGACAGATCTGGCCAGCAGGGAGCGCAGGCAGGCGACACTTGCACATGATGTTCCTGTTGTAGCTCTCAGAGACCTTAAAGCGAAGTTTACTGCAATGTGAATAATTTAATCTCTGGCTGCCAAGCATGTTTCTGATCTGCGTGGGCACTGGGGGCCATCCACTCTGCTCTGACTCTGGGCCACATTGGTCTGTCGCACCCAGGACCTGGAGCAGTGGTCTCGGGGCAGGGCAGAAGCAGTGGGCTCTGGTGGCACAGGGAGGACCTAGGCACCGGGCAAGGGCAAGTGTCCCAGGGCCTCTCCTGGGCAGCAACATCTGTGTGGGGCTAGTGGCAGCGACACTTGGCTCTTTGCATCTCGTGCAGAGTCCTTCAAGGATACTGACTCTCCTCTGGCCCCTTGGCTGAACTCGACATTCCAGGTGCTTTCCTTGAGAGCAAACCCCACACCCCCCAACCGAGCAGAGTGCCACCTGCAAAACCTCGTTTTCTTGCAGCCCAGAGCTCGTGCCCCTCTGCTGCCCTCCCCATGTCCTCATTCTATTCTCACCCACCCCAGCCCCATTGTCCTTCATCTGGCCCTTGCCCTTCAGGCCCCTGCACACCTTCTATGGGACCTAGGGAGAATAGGGGAGAGATGATTCAGGATGTCCCAGGCCTCCCCCTCCACCAGAGAACAACCTCAGCCTTGCTGAGACCCCCAAGGGCACATCAAAGAAGCCCCCAGGCTGAGGACACTGATTGGTCACATCTTCTGCCCATGCTGGGGACCCAGGGACTTCACCTGCCCAGGCTGTGAGCGCCTCTGGGACTCTGGACACCCCAGCTGTCTTCTGCCAAGTCTGAGTCCCTGGAGCACCTCCTGACCAAGGTAGACAGGCTCTTGCATTAGGTTCAGAGTAGGAGGGGCCGAGACAGTGCCATGGGTGGCTTTCCCACCATCCCAAGCTAGTTTGGGGCCCTAGACCAGGCCATTCTTTCTTGATGCTGTCTCTAGATTTACATGCGATAAACCCTGCCTTGGGAGCAGCAAGAGACAGAAGACATACCTGAGTCCCCAGAGCCCCTGCCCTTCCAGCACCCAGCTGTGCCGAGCAGGTTATAGTGCACCCTACACAGACCCCATATGGAGGCCTGGACCCCTTGCACCTGTTCCTCCAAGGCCCTGTCCCCAGGCTGGTCCCTTTACACAGCCCACTGGTCTGTGACAGCAGTAGGAGTGGAGGACATACAACGGACAGCCACTCAAGAGTGGGCCTGAGGGCCAGAGAGTGAAGAGAGAGAGCAGGGCAGGGAGGGGATATCAGAGGGCACCGAGACGGCCTCAGAGGTCAAGGGGGGGGAACCAGAGGGCAGTGAAGAGACACCAGGGGGTCTTGAGGGGACCTCAGAGATCAATGAAGAAAAGCCATTGGGGGTGAGACCACCTGAGATCAAGGAGGAACCACGAGATCAGTGAGGACACTGGAGAGCGATGAGGAAACTTCAACGTGTGATGAGGGGACACCAGGGGGTGGTAAGACCACCTTAGAGATCAAGGAAGGTCAGGAGGGGACACCAGAGGAAGATGAGAGGAATCAGAGATAAATTAGGGGACACCAGAGGCCAATGAGAGGATGACAGGGTGATGAGAGGACTTCAGTGAAGTGACACCAGAGAGTGGTGAGGGGTTGTCAGTTTATTGAGCAGCAGAGCTGGGGGACGGGGCGGAATGGGCCGAGTTTCCTTCCGGTCAGCCGCTACATTGTCAGTTCCTGAAGGAAAATTTGGAAAGAGGTCATTGTGGAAGGGCCCTCCCCAGCAGAGCCAAAAACAGGACCAGTTCAAGGCCCTTGGGGACAGCTGAGGAACAAGAAAGGGCCAGCACTTGCTCACCATGATGGCATTCACGATGTCACTGTGGTTGTCCCTTAAGGCCTGCACAGCCTTGGCTCTGGACACATTGGCCTGGGCCATCACCAGCTCAATGTCACGAAGCTCTAGCCCTGCCTCGTCCACCTGGGGAAGGGCAGAGATGAGGTTGCAGCTGCCCAGAGTCTACCCGCACCACAAGGCAACCACTCCCCAGGGCTGGTTGGTCATGCCTCACCTCCTCCTCCTCTTCCTCCTCCTCACATTCCTGCCTCACCCGGGGCCCGGGCGTTGACTCAGGGACCAGGGCCGAGGGCTCTGAGGGCACCTTGAACTTTTCTGCTGCGGCTTTGTGCACTTGTTGGGACAGATCCTCAATCTGCAGCATGGGGAGCTGTGTTAGAGGGGGTCCATGTTCCCTTTCCCCCTACACCCCTCCCCATCCTAGGCCAGGCCTGACAGACCTTGGCCTCACCAAAGACCACATAGGTGTCCGAGGCTGGGCTCTTGAAGACGTCAGGCTTGGCGATGACAAAGAGGATGTTCTTAGACTTCTGGATGGTGATCCTGGTGACCCCCTGCACCTGCCGCAAGCCCAGCTTCGACATTGCCTATGGGCAGAGGCGGGGCTCAGCCCAGTGTTGCCATGGGGCACTGGAGGAAAAGGCTCCACCATCAGCTCCCCGTGCCCTCGGCCTCAGTTGTTCAGGGAAGTGTGTGGGTTCCGGCCTTGACCCCAGTCCCGCAGTGGGTTACCAGCTGTGGGGTGTGAGGGGTCTTAGTAAGGACGTTCCCCATGCAGATTGCCCCCAGGCCCAGGGCCCAGCCCACCTTTCGGGCTTTCTTCTCACTGCGGCTCTGCTTGGCTTTGGCAATGGTCTCTTCACTGTCACCTGTCAGGGCCTGGGAAAAGGTGCGGGCTGAGCGCTCGTAGGCAAGGTGCAGGGCCCTCCCAGAGGCCCACCCACTCCTCTGGACCAGGCACCTGGGGTGACTGTGTGGCCTGAGGTGCTGAGACATCCTGCTCGTCCAGCTCTGCCGATGATTCCCCGTGGCTCTCCGAGAGCTGGCCGGAGCCTGGGGCACGTGATGAGTCTGGGGCAGGGCAGGGGTGTGAGAACAGTCTCTGGCTCCGATGGACTGGGCGACACCCCCCCCCATGCCGCTTACCTTCCTCCAGGCTGTCCTCGTCCTCTTGCTGCTCAGATGCTGGAGGCCCTTGAGGGCCTGCTGGGCTCCGAGGCCCAGGGCGGGGAGGCACTTGGCAGGGGGGTGAGATCCGTGAGGCCAGGTTTTTGGCCAGGTCTTTGGCATCTGTGGGGGCTACCTGGGGGCTGATGAGGGGGGAGTGCAACGAGAGGCTGACCCGCCGTCCGGTCCCCAGAGGCTGTGCGGTTCCTGAGACGGCAGCAGTGGTCTGCTGGGCTCCTGCTCGGGGCTGTGGGAGGCCTGGAGAGCCTGGTGGCTCTTTGTCCTCCCCAGAGTCCTCCAGGGGGGCCTGGTCCAGGCAGGAGATGAGGGACCCTTGGAGAGGCAGAGCTGCCTCAGCAGGGGCATCAGGAGCAGAGGGGTCAGGGCCCTGCAGCCTGTCCTGGGGTATACTGGGCAGGTCCCTGGCAGGGTTTTCTGGGGGCTGTGGTGGGGAGGGGCTGAGAACATTGAGGACCTTGGGGGGCTGCTCTTCCCTGCCTGGAGCTGGGACAGGCTCTGGCTGCAAAGAGGGTGGTGTGGATGTGGGGGTGGGCTCTTCAGGGCAGCCCTCGTCCGGCATGGACGCTGCAGCTGCTGGAGATTCTGAGCAGGAGTCCCTGGTGGCCTGGGGAAGCCTGGATGTCAGGGTAGCCTCGCTGCTCAGGACTCTCGCCTCTCTGGCTGGACTTAGAGGCTGCACCTGGCCAACCTTGGGGCAGGCAGCAGCGGGCTGTGCCTTAGGAGCCTCCCCTGCACCTCCGGGCGCTGGCTGGGGTCCATGTGCCTGCGCCAGGGACTCTTGGCTTCTGTCCTTCTGGTTCTCAGCCCCCAGGGCCTCCTCTGGGGGTGCATGGGGCTTGGCCCCATCATCAGTGTGCACGGGGGCTTCAAGATGTCCTTCCTGCTCAGGCACAGAAAGGCCCTCAGCTGCCTCCTTCCTGGCACCAGCGGCCTCCTCCAGGGGGTCTGGAGTCTCCATGTCCAAGGCAGGACCTGCATCTTCCTGTGGAGCCCAAGTAGTCTCGGCTTCTGCTGTTGGCTCTGGGGCACCCTGTGGGACCTGGTCCAAGGCTGCAGGCTCCAGGACTCCAAGGAGGGCGGCTGCGCCCCACTCCTCGGATGCTGGCCTCAGTGCTAAGGCCATGCCTACGTCTTGCTGGGCCTCAGAGGCCACGGGCTCTGTCCCACTGGCTTCTGTCTGCAGGGCCTCAGGGGCAACTGCAGGCACAGTCTCACTGTCCGTGGACGTCCCTGCATCTTGCAGGGCCAGAGGTGCTGCCATAGCAGAGTCCTGGACTAACGGGACATCTGCTTCAGCCTGCTGGGGCCCAGACTCCAGGTCCAGTCCTCCTCCCTTCAAGTTCTGAAGGCAGCCTAGGCATGAGGCAGGTCCCAGTTCTTCCTGTGGAGCCGGAAGCGCTGCTGCAACCACAGGCCCCTGGTTGATGGTACTTGCCTTCTCCTGGAAGGGCTGAGGCATCTCTGCAGGGGCAGCAGGTGCTTGTCCATCAGTGGAGTCCGTGTCTTCCTCCCCAGCCTGAGGAGTCCCCTCACTAGCCTCCTGCACCTGGAGGTCTGGGGCTGCCTGAGGGGCTTGAGGGGTCACAGTGGCAGCGGCCTCCTGATCTGGGTTGAAGCCCTCTTCTTTGACTTCTGCTACAGCTTCCTGGGTTTGGGTGGGCAAAGCCTCTTCCTCTGCAGCCTGGGGAGTGGGCACCAAGCCAGTGGCCTCAAGGCCCCAGGAAACAGCCCCCTCACGAGCCTGTAGCCCCTTGGCCTTCCCTCTGCTCTCCTCCTCTGCCTGCCGCACGCTGTCCTGGGGCAGCACGGTGGGCTGCGCGTGTGGCTCCCCACTGTACAGCCTCTCGTCGTCCACCCCCGTGTAGGAGGCCGACTCAGAGTCTGAGGAGGCCGCCGAGGTGTCATCCCGGAATGCAAAGGCCTCGTCCATGCCCTCGATGATGGACAGGTCAGACAGTGACTGCAGGAAAGAGGCAGAGGTACTGTCCTCATCGCCCTCTCCGGCCAGGTCCCCGCCTGCAGCGGGAGCCGCTGCCTCCTCCTTCCCCTCTTCCTCTTCCTGGGGCAGTGGTGTCACCTCCAGGGCCTCCACCTGAAAGATGAGGCTGCCCTGGAAGGGTAGGAGAGCCGCAGGGATCATCGGGTCATTAGCCAGGAAGTCTAGGTCGAAGAAATGGCCCTCTTGACCCCAGGAAGAGCTGCTGTCTGCAGAGAGGCTAGACTCGGAGGATGGAGACCTGGCGGGATGCGACTCCTGTTCTTCGGCCACCGATCCTGGTGGGGAGAGGCCCCAGCCTGACGGGAAGTCAAGCCCTTCAGCTGGGGCCAGGAGGCCGAGGGAGCAGGACGGCGAGGAGGCCCAGCTGTCCCCATCAGCTGTGATGTAGGAGCCTGAGGGCGAGGCGGGCGGCGAGTCCAGCAGCTCAGCAGGCAGCTCGGCCTCCATGTCCCAGGGATCCACAGGGGGACTGTGGCCGGAGAGCAGGGCACAGGTGGTCTTGGTGGGGGTGGAGGGAGGCGTGAAGTAGGAGTCATGGTCAGGGGACGGGGAAGGCACAGGAGGCTCTCCCTGAGAACACCACTCGGGAGGTGGAGTCAGGCCTGCGTGCCCACCCTCCCGATCCCTGAGCGCCGGCCGGGCTGCCCTGGGTGACGAGGGCACCTGGCATGTCTCCTCACCCATCACGATCCGGGGCTCCAGGGTGGCGGGCAGCAAGACCTCAGGGGGCAGCTCCTGGGGGGGTGGGCCCTCAGGAAGGAGCGCTGGGCTTGGGCCGCCCTCCTCGGGGTGGGCCCAGGCTGAGGGGGCCCCACCGGGCCCTGCATCCCAGCTGGCCCCCTCAGGTTGGGGCCGGGTGCCCGGCTTGCTGGGCAGGAAGGTGAGGACCAGGGGATTGGGCCCTGGAGTCAGGGCAGGGGTCTCCCGCCGGTCCCCCTTTGGGATGGTGGCAGCAGCCGAATCACAGGAGAGATCTGTGGAGACAGAGAGGGATGTGAGGCCCTGAGGCCGCACCTGCAGGGCTTATGCCAGGCGGGGCAAGGAGCAGAGGTTGGGCAGGGGAGCCAGTTTCTGCTGAGAGAGCCCCCCAGGGAAGCTGGGGGGAGGGCAGCCGAGATATAGGAGGGGCCGGGCAGCTGCACTGAGGGAGAAATCCTGTTCTGACAGAGCAGAGAGCTGGTGGGGGAGCGTGGCAGTGTGGTGAACACACCCTCGGGCGGTCTTCCTCAGGGCCTTCAGCAAAGGTGCAGCTAGCATTTCTGTCTCCTTCCAGAGACAGGCTGGCTACTTTCTGCATGATCAGCATGGCTGGCTGGGTGTGACAGGAGAGGCCACTATCTGATTCTGCCATGACAGGGCAGGGCCCTGCGTACATAGGCGTGCGCTGCTCTGGAACATTCCAGGGCTCACTCGTGCCTGCTGCAAGATCTGGGATGAGCCTTTGGCTCTTCTCCCTGTCTGTGAAACTCACACTTGAGGTCAACCTACCAGAGCTCATCAGGCTCTGCCCTGACCCTGCACCCTCCTTGGCACCAGGTGTGGCTACACTTCTAGAGAGGAGTGATGGGCAATGACAGTGACCTGGAGCCCAGCAAGACCACTGTGGAGGGCCAGCAGGACTGTGGCCAAGGCCTCTCAATGGGCAGCCCTCCCTTCTCGCCTTGTGATCATCTCTGGGTACCATGCCTTAAACCATGCTTCACCATAAGGCCACAGGTGCCCACACACCTCCAATTGGCCTCCACTCCATGTGTACAACGTAAGTCCTTTAGGAACATGGAGGTGGAAGAACCCTGCAAAGTGCCTCCTAGTCTCTTACTGGCTACTCTTCCCACAGCTGAGGTCACACTCAGGTTTGCCTCTTGCATTTTCACCCAGCATCAAATCCCAGGCTCCATGTGTTCACAAGTATTTTTTTTTTTCCTTCCAGTTTGCTATAGGGTGCAAGTGCTTGCCAGAGAGAGAGGGAAATTAAGAAATCACCCCCTCCCCCAAGAGAGATGGCCATACTGCAATTCCTTCTTTTCCATTCTCCTCTAGGGATTTTGGGCATGTGTGAACATGTACCCTGTATGTTTTCCAAGCACCAGGTCTGGACTCAGCACGGTCAGTCATGTGGGATCTAACCGCCTTAAACACCGCACCACTGGCTGGCCCATAAGCCCCACTTTTAATGGCTTTATGATGTCCCTTCCCTCACCTGCACCAAGGACAAGGATGACTGAAGCACCTGCTCAAGGCTCACCTGCTCCCCCAAGAGCTCAGGCCAGATCCTGCCTCCTGGAGTGGGGAGAGCAGTGCACAGGGGCCGAGTTCTAGGACTGCAGACCCCTGCCTTCCCGGTGGTTCCTGCCCTACCATGTTCACTGGTAGAGAGGGAAATTAAGAAATCACCCCCTCCCCCAAGAGAGATGGCCATACTGCAATTCCTTCTTTTCCATTCTCCTCTAGGGATTTTGGGCATGTGTGAACATGTACCCTGTATGTTTTCCAAGCACCAGGTCTGGACTCAGCACGGTCAGTCATGTGGGATCTAACCGCCTTAAACACCGCACCACTGGCTGGCCCATAAGCCCCACTTTTAATGGCTTTATGATGTCCCTTCCCTCACCTGCACCAAGGACAAGGATGACTGAAGCACCTGCTCAAGGCTCACCTGCTCCCCCAAGAGCTCAGGCCAGATCCTGCCTCCTGGAGTGGGGAGAGCAGTGCACAGGGGCCGAGTTCTAGGACTGCAGACCCCTGCCTTCCCGGTGGTTCCTGCCCTACCATGTTCACTGGTGACAAGGACATCTGTCCTCAGCTTTCTCATCTGCAAAGTAGAGTATTGGCCAGGATTAGAGGAGAGCTGAAGAAGGGCTGGTCTCCTTACTAGGCTGCTCATCAGGGCCTAAACCCTCAGCCACCAACCAGGACTCGTCACCTAGGGCAGCGCTGGTGGGGTGCTGGAGCAGCCAGGGGAGCAGGGGGCTGGTCTTCTGGGTCCACAGGTACACCTGATGTCCCGCACTGGGTGTGGGTGTGGCTGCGGTGCATCGCTGGCTGCCCTGAGGATGAACTATTGGCACTGACTCCTGGTGTGGTCCCTGGGTGGGGGCAGGGCAGAGCTGGGCTGAGGTAGGAGTAGAAGGAAAACCAGAATTCAAAGCTTTTGAATGACTCACTCAAGGTCACCAGGCAAGTTGGAACAGAGAGGGCACAAGACCCTCCGTCTGGGCGGCCTGGACCTGCCTTGCCTGCCTACCACGCACAGTAGAGGCTGCAGCACGGTGCCCTCCCTTGGCCAAGCAGCCGAGCTCTGGCCCCATCCCCAGGAGACTTCGCCTGCAGCAAGGTGCCCTTGGCCCCGCAGAGCCACATACAGCAGACCTCCACCGGGCGGGCTACCACCAGGCTCTGCTCTGTCCAGACCCTGTGGACCCCAGCAGCCTGCCCCAAGGACACAGGCGTCCGCACACCGGCACCACTGCAGGCCAGGCCCCTCCCCCAGGGCCGTCCACCTCCCAGACCGAATCTGGCCTCTTCTCGCAAGCCAGCCCTCGGCCGGGCCTTGGCCAGGCTCCAGGACAGTCCTGCTCCTCCTGCCCTAGCTGCGACCAGTCGCCAGCCCTGGGCAGCCCGGGGTGCAGTGGAGGACCTTCCCGGAGCTGCCAGAGCGGCCCTGAGGGAACCGCGGGGACCCCGCCCCTGGATCTCACCGCCCTGGTCCAAACCCGCCCAGCCCCGCTGGCTCGCTGGCCCGCGGCTCTGTGCAGACAATGGGGGCGCGACTCGCGGCAGCGCAGCGGGCAGGATGCGTCTGGAGCCATGGAGCCCCCACGACCCCCTGGGTCGGAGGCCAAGGGCGAAGGCCCCCACGTTGCTTCAGGCTCGCGGAGGGCACACCCCCCCTTCCCTGCTGTCCCGAGTTAGTGGGGGCAGGGTTCAGGTGGAAAGGTCCAAGCGCGGAAAGGGCCGGGAGTGGACAGCTTGGGACGAGGGTGGCGACAGATGTTGAAGGAAGAGGGACGGAGAGCCAGACCGGATTGGGGAGCGGCGGAGGTAGGGGAAGGCGCAGCCACGGCCTCACCTGTGCGGGGCCTGGGCCCGCCC